CACTGCAGAGCTGTGAGCTGTCCACGCTGAGTGCCACTGCCTACCTATGAACTGTCCATTCTCTGAGTGCCACTGCAGAGCTGTGAGCTGTCCACTCTCTGAGTGCCACTGCAGAGCTGTGAGCTGTCCACGCTGAGTGCCACCACCTAGCTGTGAGCTGTCCACGCTGAGTGCCACTGCAGAGCTGTGAGCTGTCCACGTTCTGAGTGCCACTGCAGAGTTGTGAGCTGTCCACACTCTGAGTGCCACCGCAGAGCTGTGAACTGTCCACGTTCTGAGTGCCACCACCTACCTGTGAGCTGTCCACGCTGAGTGCCACTGCAGAGCTGTGAGCTGTCCACACTCTGAGTGCCACTGCAGAGCTGTGAGCTGTCCACGCTGAGTGCCACTGCAGAGCTGTGAGCTGTCCATGCTGAGTGCCACTGCAGAGCTGTGAACTGTCCACGCTGAGTCCCTCTCAGTGTATCTAGCAGCAGAGATCCTGTCCCAGGAGCTCACAGGGGACAAACAGGAGCTGAATCACCCGGCCTACCTCTTCTGGCTTCTTCTCCCTGCTCTTTCTCTGTTCAATCAATTTCATTCATTTCATTTTTTTTCTAATGCTCAGTCTGACCCAGAGCCCTCTTGCTACTCAGGCTGGCTGTCAGTCTCCCCTCTTCCTCTTGATACTGTGTTTGGGAGCATGTTATTTGATTTTATTATAGGGTCATATATGAAGGGTTATGTTGTTAATGGGATGTCCCTGGCAGAAGCTGCGTTGAACTGGATTGCCATCATGACAGTATTAAAGAAGTGGGACTTTAAGAAGGAGTGAGGCCAGCAGGGCTCTACCGTCCTCGTGGTCACAGAAATGAGTTAGTTATCATGGGAAGGTCCTGACGGAAAGGATGGATTAGGTCTCCTTCTGATCTCATGCCTCTCTCTCCCTCCCCCTCGCCCTCTCCTCATCCCTCTTCCCATCCTCTTCTCCCCCTCCAGCAGTGATGCCCGCCATGTTATGACACAGCAAGAAGCCCCACAAGAAATGCCAGAACCTTCATTTGGGAGTTTATAAAACATTAGTAGAGGTGTTATAAATTTGTTTTCCATGAGGGAACCGGATGGTCGGCCTGGGGGAGGAACAGAGTGGGAGAGCAATGAAAGAGATACCTTGGCCGGGCGGTGGTGGCGCACGCCTTTAATCCCAGCACTCGGGAGGCAGAGCCAGGCGGATCGCTGTGAGTTCGAGGCCAGCCTGGGCTACCAAGTGAGCTCCAGGAAAGGCGCAAAGCTACGCAGAGAAACCCTGTGTCGAAAAACAAAACAAAACAAAACAAAACAAAAAAAAAGAGATACCTTGATAGAGGGAGACATTATGGGGTTAGGGAGAAACCTGGTGCTAGGAAAATTCCCAGGAATCCACAGAGACAACCCCAGATTAGACTACTGGCAATAGTGGAGAGGGTGCCTGAGCTGGCCTACTCCAGTAATCAGATCGGTGAATACCCTGTCATCACAGAGTCTTTATCCAGTCAGTAACTGATGGAAGCAGATGCCGAGATCCACAGCCAAGCACCAGGCTGAGCTCCGGGAGTCCAGTCAAAGAAGGGAAGAGAGATTATATGAGCAGGGGATGGGGGCGTCAAGACCATGATGAGGAAGTCTACAGAGACGACTGACCCAAGCTTGTATGAACTCATGAACTTTAGACCAACAGCTGTGGAATCTGCATGGGACTGGACTAGGCACTCTGCATACGGGAGACAGTTGTGCAGCTTGGTCTGCTTGAGGGGCCCCTGGCAGTGGGATCAGGATCAATCCCTGGTGCATGAGCTGGCTTTCTGGAGCCTATTACCTATGGTCAGACTCCTTGCTCAGCCTTGAGGCGGGGGTGGGTGGGGGTAAGGGGTTGGGAGGTAGGGGAGTGAGGGGTGGCACTTGGTCCTGCCTTGACTGAATGTACCAGGCTCTGCTGACTCCCCATGGGAGCCCTTACCCTTTTGGAGGAGAGGATAGGGGAGTGGGGGGCGGGCTGGGGGGAACGGGAGGAGGGATGCGAGGGGGATCTGCGGTTGGTATGTAAAATAAAAAATTTCTTAAATAAATTTGTTTTCTTTATAAATATTGAACCTGTAATATTTTGTTACAGAAGCAGAAAAAAAGACCAAGGCAAGTCTCATTCATATCAGATGGGGCATTTTTTTAGGGCAGGTTCTGAAATTTGCACTTTGGAGTTGAGGCCAAGTGCATCAGGATTCTGAGAACTATTGCAACGGAATAGATGTGCAGAGAAGCAGATGTGAGCTTGGGGGTGGCAGAATGAGTGCTTGTGTCCCCTCCAGATCCAAATGTCGTAACCAAGTCCACAAAGCAGCGG